TCTCTTATGTTTTTACAAATAATCTTTTTTCGTTTATAGTAAAACTTTAATGCCCTATTCCCATATGGAATAGCCTTGGGCTCTAACCCAAACACCCCATGTTACCAAACACTCCCAATTAGATATTTTATATTTATTTCATCATTATCTCAATTAAAATCAATTAATCTATATTTAATCTATATATTAACATTTAACAAAAATGATGATTTAATTAAATATATGCAAACACATATTTAAACGTAATTTCACTTATTTAATTTTTCTAATAAATTAAATAAAGGCTATGACCTCAGCAAATTTAATTGCATTGTGAAATTACCAAAATACCCTTTCGCCTAAAAAGACGAAAACGTCCTTCTTTCTTCCTGAGTCTTAAATTATCTTCTATGTGTGTGACCCATAGGTTCTTCACCATACCGGTAGTGTATAGTATCGCGATTAACACCAATTAATCGTCTCACTAATACACAGACCAAGATTGGCCCCTAGCAAAGCATCATGGCCACTCGATAGATTCGGATTTAGCAAAGTAGCTACTTGTCAATGATATGGTTACCGTACAATTCGATCTTTTCGTCATACGTTATCTCGACGAGACGAAGGCATAGAAATAGTGTCAACCTTCGGTTACTCTCGATATTATGTATTCAGTTTCTGGACCAATGACCTGTATTATAATCCAGATAGAGCAACAACTCAATCGCATTGTGGCCACAGTTTTAGTGTCATTGCCATATACTAAATTACGCCGTGAGATGACTTCTCCTGTACCCGAGAGTGATGAATCCTCTATCAATCCACCATAGTCTTGATACACTCCTTGATGCAGCCAATCACCACCGTATTGACAGCTCTGAAAAGAACTGCGTTAGGCTAGTGTCAAACTGCACCAATCGGTGCACAAAGCGCTCTGGTGATCTCAAGTCTAAGGATCACATGCACCACCATTCATTAGAGGATTTATTCCATAGACATTGGGGTTATCATCCATATGGAATCCTCTGGTGGGTTAGTCTAGTGAACTTGCTTTGGTAAAATCGTCTACAACAAGCACCCATGTGTTGCACCAGGTTGTCACCAAACAACCTTGACAAGTGAGATCAGTCACTGCCTTTCAACAGGGTCGTTCAACATCATGATAGCCTTACTGTATTTTCTATGCCCTTACTTCAGAATAATACCGGGGCTACGGACGTTTCTAAAATGGCCAACTTATGTGCTCATAGGGTTCTCACTATCAAGAATTGAAACACTTGATACCCTCGTCACGGTTCTACCATTCTAAGGACATATATCAATACATATTGCAATAATAATGATTTACGCGATATAGAATAAAAGGCCTTTTATTGATTAATGAACGTTATTACAAAGAGTCAATTCTACAATAATTTATTGGCTCTAGGGCATCTACTCTAATAGAAGGAAACTATCCTAGTCCCCCTGAATTTACTAACATAAATGCAGTAGATTCAAATAGTCCCGCTTGCCCATTCTCAGAATCCAATACACCTCATAATATTCCCCCCCCCCCCCCCTTCCTTCCCATACTGCTACAGCTCTCGGTGGTTCTAGAAGTCGTCCTCGTCCAACTTCATCTCAAGCAGAAGCGGGTTCATCAACTTCTGTCGAAACCGATGACAGGCACACATCAGATGTTTGGGTGCATTTCGATAAGTTTTACGAGATAGAAAATGTAGTTCAAGTGAAGAAAGCAAGATGCAAGTATTGTGGAAATATTTATAAAGCTGATGCAGGTAATGGTACTAGTACTTTAAAAAGGCATGCTAATAAACATATTACTCAACATGGAAAAATAGAAACCAATCAAACTCAAATAACTAATATAGGTACTACTTGACGTTATAATTCTGATGTATATAGGGAACAATTAGCTTTATATATTGCTGCAACTGATCAACATATTAATATGGCTGAAGATAAATATTTTGAAAGATTTATTAAAAAATTATTTTTTCCAAGATTTAAAAGTTATTCTAAAACTGCAACTAGAAATGATTTAATCAAATTGTTTGGGAAAATGAAATTAGATTTAAAAAATAAAATACATAGTTGTCTTGTTAGTATGGCTCTAACCGCCGATATTTGGAGTGGTAGAGTTAAACAAGAGTATATTTGTGTGACTAGTCATTATTTTGATAACGAATGTAAATTAAATAAATCTTTATTGGGATTTAGATTAATGGATTTGGATCATAGTGGTCAACAAATTTATAATAAAATTGTTGAAGTTTTAGAAGATTATGATGTTGTTCATAAAGTGATAAGTTTAATTTTAGATAATGCAAGTGCTAATAGTAGAGCTATAGATTTTTTTTAAAATTAATTTTCCTTTTTATGACAATTTGAAGTTTTTTCACCAACGCTATGTATGTCACATTATTAATTTAATTGTGAAAAGTGATATGAAAAAAATTAGAAATAATATTGATGGAATTAGGGATTCTTTAGCTTGGATTACTAGTAGTAATAGAAGAAATGATGAATTTCAAAATGCTTGTATAAAATCAAATATGTCTCCTAGAACTTTTGCATTAGACATGCCTGTTAGATGGAATAATACTTATTTAATGTTTTATTCATGTTTACCTTATGCAAATTTAATTAGTTATTTTGTAGCAAATAATAGTGGTCCTCATTATTTGGTAGAAAATGATTGACATATAGCTAAAAAAATTCACTCTTTTCTTAAAATTCTTTACTAATCCATTTTACAACTTTCTGGTGTGTATTATCATATTAGTCCATTGGTAATACATACAATTATAAAAATTTCAGATTTATTTAGAAAAAACAGAAACAATGAAATTTTAGCAAGACCAATACAGGCAATGAAATTAAAATTTAAAAAAAATTGGAAACCCATTCTTTTTCTTTATTGCTTAGCTGCTATATTTGATCCTAGAATTAAATTAGCACGTTTAGAAAATGGTTTGGACACATTAACTGAAAATTTACAAGACAAAACATATGCCAATCGACTATGAGAGGTAAGAGAGTGTCTTGCAGAGGTATATTTGTAATATGAAAACAAGTATGGGAACCAACAAAGAGGCGAAATGCCCGAGGAAGTAGCATCAAAAGAAACAAATGAAGACTTCGACTCCTGGAGTGCACTTAATAGGCCGAAGAGGACCCGAACTGGAAGCACGACCTTCTCTTAAGAAGCATCAGCAATGAATGTACTATCCTCCATGTAGTTACAGAGTAATGAGCTTCACCAATATTTGGGAACCCCCAACGTGTTACCAGAAGATCCACAACAAAGAGCCAACTTTGATGTCTTAGAATATTGGAAAACCAGAAAATGTATTTTTCTGGTATTATCAAGACTTGCCATGAATGTTTTAAATGATCCTGTCTCAACAGTCTAATACGAAAAAACATTTAGTGCAAGTGGAAGAATTTTAAATGAAAGGAGGACTAAACTTTCACCAAAAATGATTGAAGTCCTCACATGTCTTCGAGATTGGGAAAGGTCGCGCCATCAGGATCAATACGAGGTTGTTGACAATACTTTAATAGAGTCATTTCAATTTTGTAATATAAATGATACGGATGAGGAAGGTCCCAATCAACCCCAAAATTAGTTTTTTTTTTTTTAAATTGTAAATTAATTGTCAATTATAGCACTCTTTTTTCCTTACCAAGTTTTTGTCTCAATTGGGTTTTTCTTGGTAAGGTTTTTAACGAGGCAATAATTGTTGTAATTTCTTATTTTATTTTTTGATAAATGAATAAATCTAATTTTTCTTATATTAAAATTTCATTGTATTAATATTGAATTAATATTTGAAATGTTAACAAAAAAAATTAATTGAATTGAATTATTGATATTTGAAAAGTTAACTAAAAATAATTACACAAAAGAAAAAAAAAAAATTAAAAAATAAAATTAAAAAAATTATGGGGTAGCTCGGCCCGAACTGCACCAAAACCCATCGGATTAGGGTTGGTGGGCCGGGCTGGGACAACCTTCTTGGCCAAGAGGCGGGCTGGGTTTTGTTGGCGGGCCAAGTTAGGCCCGGCTCGCCAATTTCCATAACTTGCTGTGGGCCAGCCCGGACAGGTTATTTTTCCACCTCTAGTCACATCATGGCAGCCAATATGACATTTCTCATGTCATATGATATGTCATAAATCTGCTGCATCACTCCCCCACATTAAAAATAAAAATAAATAAATAAAGAAACAAAAACATTTCTGTTTACCCTAAATCTAAATACAAACATAAAAGCTCTTCCCAAATGTCCTTTCAACTTTTAGAACGACAATCTCCAATCTCAACCCCCACCAGGTCACTGACGCAACCGCCCATGGACGCTGCCCTACACCCATCACGGTCACCCATTTCAGCCGTACCATAGCCCACAAAAACATCTTCATACATGGCTTTGAGATCCCCATTTCATTCGTCTTCAATCTCTCAAAACCCATCTCTGAAAGTTAATGTTTTATTTTTGTTAGCACACTTAAACTACCTCACAACGTCAAGCTCCAAAAATAAAGTTTTGTATTCTTTCAAAAAAAACCCCGTGAATGATCCTCACTTGCTAAATTCCTCAAAGAAAGTTGTCGATCAGGTAACTTTACTCTGAATGAAGCATTGTACTTTTTTTATTGCATGATTAAGTCATAACCCATTTCTCAAATTTCATCATTCATTACTTTGTTTAGTGCATTAGCAAAGAAGAAGCATTATTACTTTGTTTATGGCATTAGCTAAGAAGAAGCATTACTATGAAGTGATTTCACTTTATAAGCTATTGAATTCAACTGGGTTGTCTCCAGATTTAATGTCTTTGAACATTTTGATAGATTGCTTGGGTAATATTAAAAGGTTTTCAGATAGTTTTGCGGTTTTTGGGGTGATTTTGAAGAAGGGTTTCACCCCAAATGCCATGACTTTCAATTGTTTGATTAAAGGTTTGTGTGTAGAGAGAAAGATTATGGAGTCGATGGAATTGTTTAAGAAAATGGTTGTTGTTGGATGTAGGCCTAATGTGGGTACTTATGGGTCTTTGATTGACGGATTGTGTAAAACGGGGAAGATAAGTGTTGCTATTAAGTTGCATGAAGAGATGGTTAATGGGAATGGAGGATTTGGTGTTATTTGTAGGCCAAATGTTGTTAGTTATAATATTATAATTGATGGCCTTTGTAAGGCTGGATTAATTGAGAAGGGTAAGAGTTTATTTACTGAGATGATTCAAAGAGGTGTGGATCCAAACGTTTATACCTACAGCATTTTAATAAATGGTTTTTACTTGACATACAGAATTGGTGATGCAAGGGCATTGTTTGATTTTATAACCAGGAAGCGGTATAGACCTGATGTTTGCTACACTACTTTAATCAATTGGTGTGGCAAGAATAAAGAAGTCAAAAGAGCTCTTTATCTTTATCGAGAGACAATTTTAAAAGGAATTAGGCCTGATGTGATTACATATAGCACCTTGTTAACTGGTCTTTTTCTTAAAGGTAATGTAAAAGATGCACGAAATTTAGTTGGTGAGATGCGACTTAATGGTGTTTTTCCTAATTCCTAGACATATAACATTTTCATTGATGGACTTTGCAAGAATGGATGTGTTTTGGAAGCGATGGAATTGTTTAATACTCTAGTAAATAATAAGTTTGTAGTTGGCCTTGAAGGTTTGAGTTCCCTCATTGATGGATTATGTAAAATAGGGAGATTCAAAACTGCTTGGGACCTATTTCAAAAATTTTCTCTTCATGGAAACCTAGTGCCAAACGTTGTAACATATACCATTTTGATCAATGGGCAGTGTAAAATTGGGCAACTAAAAAAGGCAAATGAGTTGCTGTCACATATGGAGGAGAAAGGTTGTGCTCCAGATGTGGTCACATTTAATATGCTCATGTTCGGTTTCCTCAAGAATAATGAGATACCAAAAGTTGTTGAACTCCTTCATAAGATGGCACAGAGAAATGTGAATCCGATCGAATGTACAATATCCTTAGTCATGCAGTTACTAATGAAGGCCAAAATTTATCGTGAATGTTTGAACTAGCTTCCTCAATTTCCGGTCCAAAAGTGAAATTGAAGTTTACATGATAAAATGATAGGAACCCACTACAATAACTCAACAATTAGGCTGGGTAACAGGCCTTTTGTAAGCTTAGGTAGAACTCTCCTTGGAAAACTGGCTTGCCAAGGGAAGGTGACCAAGCCCTTGATAACCCACATGCCCACCCTTTTCCCCTTCCAATGTGGGATCCTAACATAAAACTTTAGTGAGTATTAAACTTCTTTCAGAGCAGAATCTTGCAAAAGTTCATCCAGCTACCCAAATGCTCTATTTCGATTACGGTAAGAAGAAGGTTCAGTAAGCACTTTCATCTGTTCAAATTTGATAGGGATGGTGATGGGGATGATTGAGAATGATGGCTTCCCTGATCAGACATATGATACGTGATTTGTCTTTATTGCAAGTTGATAATCCGTGAATTATACAGTTTTCATTAGACCATTTTGTCGGATTTCAGGTACTTTCTAGTGCATTTTGACTTGAATTGTTGCTTAATTCTTTACTTTTCGTGTTTCAGGTTAAAATGGACATTTTGAGCAAATAAGGACAAAATTGGATATTTTTGACTCAGAAATTAGCGGATCTCAGAAGATAGGAGAGTTCTGGAGCAGGATAAAGCACGATGAAGCTTGTTCCCAAGGGAAAGCACCGAGAATCGAAGAATCAAACGAAGAAGCAAGCAGAGTGGCAGTTATGTAATTTCAGAACTTTTCAAGAAGCTTCACCCCGGCGAAGGAATTGTCTTCGTTGCGGCGAAGTAAGCCAGGGATGAGTGTGTCTGCTTCACTCTTCGCCGCGACGACAGTCATTATTTTCAGTTTTGTTAAACGCACAGTTTCGTTTCGTGCGTGTTTTAGCTGGGTTATTTGGACGAAGTATAAAAGAAAAACTTAGCCTTTTGCCCAGGGGTTGTCTTCTTTTAGGGTTAGCTACTTTTACATTTTTCTTAGTAAACTTTGAGCGATTTGGTTTGTTAAAGGGAGAGGATTCGATTCTGACTAAAGGATTCATCTTTTGGGGAGATTTCTTATCTTTTATCTCAGTTTCATTATGCTGAACTTGATTATTTCCGTTTTTCGTTTTTGTATTATTGATTTAGCTATGAACTAATCTATTTTGGGTTAGGGTTTTGATGGTAGTTTGGATTTTAAATGGGTTAAGTGTTTGATTGTGTTATTTTCATATGAATATGCTTTGGTTGTGTGTTACTCTGATTTTTAATGCTGTATGTGATGAACATGATGAGATTGAGAAATGAATCATGTTAGGCTTCTTGGGTAATCACCATTATAGTATTGGATGCTAGAGATAGATTCAAGAATTAATGAAATCATTATAGGATTCTTTTGCTTAATGAGTTTGGAATTATTAATCTTCAATTTGTTGGGTGCGGAAGGTTAATAAGGATGAATAGGAAAACATAGCCCGAGAGGGTATGTTTAACATATTAGTGAGTTCGATTTACAACCATTGCGTATGAATGTGAATGTAGTGTAATTTTTAGGTTTAACCCATAAAAATCCAAATGAAGTCAAAACCCTACCCGTTTTACTTGAATTGATTATCCGTGTTTTCATATTGCTTTCTTAATTAAGTTTTAATCTTAGTTTAAAATTCATTGTTTTTTTAATTAGAATTTGCTCCCACCAATCCAAAGAATTCGATTGCTTCAACTTGATAACATTAGGAAACTCAGTGCTTTGCTAACAATCACTACAACAAAATACACATATAGCTACGAACATTAGCTATGAAAAGAAAAACTGTAGCAAATACATATTTACAGCTAGAAAAGTCAATATTTGTAGCTAATTGAAATAATTTTAGTGATAAGAATTTCTCCCTCGAAGCTAATATTCATCCATTGCTTTAACTTATTAAAATTGTGGCAATAGCTATTCATTTAGTTACAATGTATTAGCTATGGTAAATCATTGTAGCTAATTAATGTATTTAGCTATAAATATTTCATTTACATGGCATATAGTATCATTATTTGCTATGAGTTTTAACTATATAACTATTATTTGTGCATTAGCTATAAAATATTGAGATTTGTAGCTAATTAATATATTTAGCTATAAACATTTTATGTATGTGGCATATAGTATCATTATTAGCTATGAGTTTAATTATATAGCTATTATTTTTACATTAGCTATAAAATATTAAAATTTGTAGCCCATTAAGATATCTAGCTATAAAAATTTTATTTTCATGGTAGTGACAATATCTTAGTATCATTGTTAGCTACTAGTTTCAATATATAGCTACTATGTGTGTATTAGCTATAAATTATTTGAATTTGTATAAAAAATAATTTGCTACAATCTTTATAGTATGCAGCTATAGATATTCTAATTTATCTTGTAAGTAATTATATTTTTATTACTTATGAATTAAATAGTTATAGTCAAATATAGTGTTAATCACACCACTAAGGTCAATAGTCAAATCAATTTTGATTTGTCTAATCTAATGGCACAGCTCTCACCTGTCCACCGTCAAATATCTCATATTTATGTTGTTTTTTTTTAATAATTGTATCCCTTACTAATAAAAGTTTTGGACAATAGTACTTCTACTTTAAAACAAATTTACATTAATATTTTATTTTAATTTTATCCATGTTTAATTAAAATTTTAGACAATAATGCCCTTATACTTAAAGTAATTTACAACCACCACTGCCACCCAGCCACCACCACCGACAACGAGCCAACCACCACGGGCCGTCGCCGGAAAATCGTAGGAGTCCCTAAAAAAGAACGAAATTCAGTGGGAGGCTCCGGGAGGCTTCGTTATGGCCGTTTCTAGCCATATTGATGGCTAAAAACGGCCATATCAGGCCAGATCTGGCCGGAAATGGCCAGATCTATTCTGGTCATTTCCGACTAGATCGATGGAACTAGTCATTAACGGCCAGATCCCTGGCCATTAACGGCCAGGTCTAGGTGAGATCTAGCCATTAATGGCCAGGTTCGTGACTGTTAACGGCCAGATCTAGCCTAGACCTGGCCAATAATGGCTAGGGATCTGGCCTGATATGGCTGTTTTTGGCCATATTGATGGCCGGAAATGGCCATAGCTGAGCCTCTTGGTCACGGTGAGGTATCACGGGGACTTTCAGAGACATCTGGCGGTGGTTTGCGGTGGCGGCAGGAAGTGGGGGTGATTTCGTCATAAATTAAAGTGTTATATAAGCGGGGGTGTTTTAGCTAAATCTGAAATATTGGGGGTTAAAAGAACTATTCAAAAATTAATAATAATTTTTACTAATTGGACTTTTAACAAATATTAGTAATCTAATAACAAGTCCAATTACTAATTGGACTTACCGTGAAGGGCGCTTTGTCCCCTCATCCCCGCCCTCTCACCAATGAGTGGGACGGTTGCCCACTCACCAAGAAACAGGACCCTCGAATACGTTATTAATCAATAAGTTGGAGATCAATTTACATGTTTATTCTGTGAACAAGAAATAAATAATTCATTACGGAGCTTAGAAATGGTAGGATTTAAGTTGGTTTCATCTCCTTGTGATTTAATAAATTGTTTTCAAGGTGTCAGTTGCAATTAATTCAAACCACTTGTGATTTAATTCACAATCTTTTCGTATTTTTTATAATAAGAATATAAGTTTACTTATAAAAATTTAACTTAGTGAATCACATGAGACTATGGTTAGCTTGTGTGACAACCCCACTATGTAAATATTATTTATTTTATTCATCATTTTTGATTCAAATTATTTATCTTAAATATGTAGAATATAATTTTCTTCATAATAATTTATGTAATTTATCTTTTAAATGTGAAAAATTAAATAAATTATTCATATATATTAATAATTATAAGATTAATTAATAAAATAATTTGTTTAATTTTAGTTATGATACACGTTAGTAATCAAACATCTAATCCTTGTAAACCCAACTTATTATATACATTTAATTTTGATGCATATTCTACTTAAACAAAACTCTACCAAATTCCAATTCACAAGTACAGTAATTTGTTTTCCTTGCATATAGTGAAACAACTGAGGCAATAAATATAAATAGTATAAAAGAAGGGGTATTCCCAAAGAAGTTAAATGTCCATGAATATAATGAAAATGAAATAAGAACAAATTCCCGTTTAGAAAGTCCACTCCTCAAGCAGAAATGGCACCGTCTTGACCTTTTAATGAAAATAAACTTTTGTGATTTAATTGATCAATAATGCTACTAACACTGGTATTTTTACACCGAAATCTTGTATCGGTCTACGTGCTGATTTATACTAGTAAATCAGACACATTTTACGTTATTAAATTTTTTTATAGTGAACGGTCGTTCATCAAATATGGACGATCGTTCACTTACATGGACTCCCGTCCATATTATATGGACAAGGTCCATTTACTACAGACAGATCAGTAAAATGGAATAATTTTTTTTATATAAAAATTAAGGACGGCCATTCACAGGTTATGGACGATTGTCTTTAAATAT